TATAATATTTTATTAATGAATCACTCGGCTTATCCCAGAAATTTTCTCTTTGCTGGTTCCTCGTAAAGTGATTTCTTTTACCTGCAACGTTGTTTATAACCTATGGCCTCGGCTACACCATAATCTTGGGAAATAACACAACCCTATTTTTATGCAATTGCCGCTATTTGTGGTAACTATTTTAGTAGATGAATAGATTTAATAACAACATTTCATTATTGTTGATTTCACTGGTCAACACTGGTTTTGCCACACGAACTTTGACAGCTAATTTTGTTTTATCAGTCTACCCTCATTATTACATGACAGCTGTCATATGTCTATTAGCCTCATATTTGTTCTGATACGGTAATACTTATAACTAGTACTACGGCAGTAAATTAACAGAAACGCTTACAAGTAAATCCTTATAAAAATATTTGTTGTTGAATTTGAACACTTTTTTGTGATTTATTAACCCTGTGAATATGTCGAGGAAGTGTTATAATGATCCTAACTCTTTTTGTTATGTCTGCGGAGTACTAACATTCAAAAAACAACGACGAAATTTTACGAATCTTGTGTTGGAGTGTTATCACCAATGTTTTGGTTTTTCTGTCGCCCATCAAGACAAATCCTGGGCCCCTCATGTCTGTTGCATAACGTGTGTGAAAAATTTAACTGACTGGAAGAAAGGTGCACGAGCTATGCCGTTTGCTGTACCCATGATATGGACTGAACAGCGAGATCACGTTTCAGATTGCTATTTTTGTCTCACAGACATAAAAGGTATAAATTACAAAAAAAAAATCACAGTTATTTACCCTAACTTATCTTCGGCTATAAGACCAGTCCCTCATTGTGAAAAATTGCTAGAACTAATACCAGTTGCAACTACGTCTGTTGAGAAAAATTCACAACCGTCCACTTCAGGTGAATGTGTTGACGAGGACGATGACTTTGAGTTAAAAGGAATTGTAAACGAGCCACATTTGATAACTCAAGGAGACCTAAATGATTTGGTTCGGGATTTAAATTTGTCAAAAAAGCAGTCAGAACTATTAGGATCACGTCTAAAAGAATGGAATTTGCTACATCATAATACAAAAGTTAGCTATTTTCGAAACCGGGATCAACACTTCAGAACGTATCTTTCTCAGGATGGAGATTTGGTGTTTTGCAATAACATATATGAGATTATGAAAATGTTGGACATAGATTTTGATCTCTCTCAGTGGCGTTTATTCATTGATTCTTCAAAAGCAAGTCTAAAAGCAGTGTTATTGCATAATGGAAATAAGCTTCCGTCTGTACCTCTGGCCCATGCTGCAAATATGAAAGAAACCTATGAAAATATGAAACTTTTACTTGAAAAAATAAATTACAGTACATATTCCTTCAAAATCTGCGGTGATCTTAAAGTTGTTGCACTATTACTTGGACTTCAGCTGGGTTATACAAAGTTTTGCTGCTTTTTATGTGAATGGGATAGCCGAGACAGAACTAATCACTATATAAAAAAAACATGGCCTACGCGTGCATCGTTACTTCCTGGGCAAAAAAACGTAAAGTATTTACCCCTTGTACAGCCAAATAATGTGCTTCTACCACCATTGCATATCAAATTAGGATTAATAAAAATTTTTGTGAAGGCAATGGATTGCAATGGGAGTGGATTTTTGTATCTAAAAGAAAAATTCCTTAAAAAAGTAAGTGAGGCAAAGATAAAAGAGGGTATTTTTGTTGGCGCTCAAATTAGGAAGTTAATAAAAGATTCAAGATTTGAAGAAAAATTAAGCGATTTAGAAACATCTGCATGGAAGGCTTTTAAAAATGTTGTTTCAAATTTTTTGGGTAACCACAAGAGTGACAGCTACAGAGAGTTGGTTAGCGAGCTATTATTGTCATATCAAGCATTGGGGTGCAACATGTCACTTAAGATCCATTTTTTAGACTCGCACCTGGATTTGTTTCATGACAATTTAGGGGCTATCAGCGACGAGCACGGTGAGAGGTTCCACCAGGACATTTCTAATATGGAAAAGCGGTACCAGGGCAAATGGAGCCCAAATATGTTAGCAGGTTACTGCTGGACAATTAAAAGGGACCAACCAGAAGCTAATTATTCAAGAAAATCTCAGATTATTAAGTCATTTATAAAAAAAAATAATTTTTGATTTACGAGATCTGTGTTTTTTCTTAATATTTTAAATTACTCAATAGAATAAAATCCTTGTCTAGCAAATTTTTTTAACTGTTTATTTTTTCTTACAATCACCAATTAAAGTAAAAAATATCAAAAAAGTCCGTGTGGCACGACAAAGTTAAAATTTTGTTGACCAGTGTTTTTATTGAACGAAGACGCTTATCAGCTGTCAATGTTATTACGGAGCATAGGGTCTACCTATAGGCAACCAGCGATGTTGTATGTAGGTTTGGTTGCGGAACTTTTCTTCAATTCTGATTATTTTTGGTACACGTCTTGGTTTGGATATAGCTTTGGTGTCGAATTTTGGTACGCCGTCCTACTTTTGACATTGACTGACTATAAACTGACTGGGGCAGAGCTTCCGGAAAATTTGTGTCGGTCATTTTCCTGCTGAAGCCTTGGTTGAGAAGGTGTATCGGCCCTTCATTAGATTTCCAAGTTTTGGGATATTGGACCCAAATCACCAGTTTACGGTTTTTCTTACCTACCTTACCTTAAGTATACTAAGTGACATATAAATCCGAACACCCAGTTTAAATGGTTTTATTTTAATAAAATTTTGTATAAGTACTTAATGAAGCATAATAAGTAAATGATAAAAATTTCAAAATGATTGCACTGCTTTAAAGCCCTTTGACCTTTAATAATGTGTGGATGCACCCTGATGTGCTACGCATTCTCCAACGCGCCTAGGCATGCTTCTGATCAGGTGGTCAATGTCCTCCTGTGGTATCTCATTCCAGGCAACCACCAACTCCTCTCAAAGTGCTTCTAGAGTCTGAGGAGGACGTTGCAAATTGAGCAATCTCCTACCCATCATATCCCACACATGCTCAATTGGGGATAAGTCGGGAGATCTTGGTGGCCATGGTAACAATGTGACATCATTATGTTGAAAGAAGTCTGTTGTGACTCTTGCAACATGTGGTCGGGCATTATATTGTTGGAAAGTTGGATCTGCCAGGGTGTCAAGATAGGGTAAAAGATGGGGTTCTAGAACTTCGTGGATATAACGCTGCGCGTTCATGTTACCTCTGATGAAGATTAAAGGTGACCTGGAGCCATAAGCCATAGCACCCCAAACCATAACTCCAACAGTGTGATGAACATGTCTTTCAACAAAAAACTGTGGATTCCTCCTTTCACCACGTCGCCTTCTAACCCTGGCATGACCATCGTGCATGCCTAAACAAAATCGAGACTCGTCACTAAAGACAATACTGATCCATTCCTGATCCCAGAGTGACCGTTGTCTGCACCACTCAAGGCGATTACGTCGGTGTTCTCGAGTTAAAGGGAGGACCCAGTGTGGCCGGTATGAAAACAAGCCAAAACTTCTCATTCGTCGGTAAACAGTTCGCATGCCAATAGGTCTTCCGTGTTCTGCAAACCATTCATTTGCAATGGACCTGGTAGTGGAGAAACGGTCCCTTAAGGCCAATAATCTTAGGCGGCGATCTTCACGGTCTGTTGTTCTACGGCGGCGTCCAATACCCCTTGCTCTTTGCGTACGGCCTTCTCGAAGCCATGCCTGACAACACCTAACCACAGTGTCTACACTTCTTTGCACTCTAACTGCAATTGCCCGAAAAGAAAGTCCAGCTTCCCGAAGTCCCACTATACGGCCCCTATCAAACTCACTAAGTTGACGAAATCGTACAGGTCTCCGTACTCTAGGCATCGTAACCGATCGTAAATGATGTCAAGAACCAAAATCCGCCAACGTTGATTCTTTACTGCGGCTGAAATATTCATTTTCAGAGCGTTAGTGAATTAAAAGAAAAGCAGTATAAAAACCGGAATGTCCAACTGATAAGGCTGAAAATTTTTTCACTTGTTATTTACAGTAAGATAAATACATTCACCAAGTTTTATTAAAATAAAGCCATTTAAACTGGGTGTTCGGATTTATATGTCACTTAGTATAGTTTGTTTTGGTTGTTGCTTGATGCTACTCTGTCTATTTTTTGGAAATTTAACCTCAGCGTGGAAAGGCATTGTAGCTGATTGTAGCTAGGATCGGATCCACATCTTTTTCTTGAGAAAAAAAATATGTAGTTTTGGCTCGTTACAAAGTGTTAGCTCGTGCCAAACAGTCACTTACGGACTAATGACAGCGTTACGTGGGAAGTAGAAAGTCAAATTAGTTGGTGCCATTTTTACACACTTTTCTCTCGTATACAGAGATGAATGATATGCGTATATTTAAGGATGTGAATCTACATGATAAATCAATGTTAGTTTGCTCCATAAACTATGGCCCAAAAATGTTTCCTTACAAAAACTCGGGGTGTTGAAGTTTTAGGAAAAAAGTGGAAATTAATTAATATTTTCAGAACCGCTTCAGATATTCCACTGATATTTAGTACGTAGTGAAAGTTAATAAAGTTGCATATTTTTCAATGCCAAAATAATTTTTAGCTTTAACAGTGGCGTGCGTACGGGTATTGACTTCGATATTTTTTAAGAAAAAGATAGTATGCCAATGGTTTTTTGTCAAATAAAAATTATTTTTTAATTCCCCGTTCAATTTAAAACAAATTATTAATCTTGAATTTTTTTCCTTCAATGCGCCATTTGTGAGTAAAAAATAAAAACCGTTCTATTGTCTAAAACACTCTCCATGCTAGTTAAATTCGGATCTCCCTGTAGATGGCTTCTAATCCTTCGTTACAGAATACAAAGCCTGCTAGGACTGGTTTACTAATACAGATTGAGAGCCAATGCTTCACGTGACAAGTCGGGCCTATATGACACCTAACAAAAATACACCCCGCTGTTGTCACCCGTTTCAGTGACCGCGTCCAGAGGCATGAACGGAATAGTGAAGAAAGTGGTCAACCTGATGAAGTTGGCCATAATCGGTATCGTGGTGGTGGTCAAAGTCTGGCTGCTGCTGAAAATCTTCTATGCGGCAATCAAGCTGAAGTATGCCTTGATAACGTTCGGTTATCTGGTGCTGAGCTATATCAAAGTGTGGCTCGACGCTCACCAACATCAGAGTCATCAGAAAAAGGTGATTTATCACACTTATCCGCATGATCACCACAAGCTGGATGAACTGGACCTTCTAGGCGAACATGAGGGAGAAGAATATTGGAGAAGAAATGATATCGAGGAGGATCCTGATACCATAGGGAATGACGTGGAGTATGATAGACAAAAATCATATTTTCTGTTTTAGCATTAGTATTATCATAGCATAAGAGTTTTATTTGGGGATTGATTATAAAGGACTGAAGTTGTTGGAGCACTGCTCAAAGTGATAAAGATTCAATAGTTGAGAATCTGAAAGTAGGTAATACTAGAACTGGAAGAGTTTCATTTGGTGCCAAAAGATCGTAGAGTATCGTCAGGCGTTCCTACAATATTGTAGGACGCGCCTCCATAGCCTCCTTGATTTTAAAAGTCTTTTCTCCACTTCAGAAAGGCTGGATTATTTCTAGATTTCTACTGATCCGAGTCAGCGTCTGCGCTATTATATTCTGAGGCTATGTTTTATTTTTGAACTGTATTTGAACAATATTAAGGAAGCCATAAAGACGCCCTACAATTGAAGGAAAGACTGACGACACGGCCCTGAGACATAAGGGGCACAGTAGACTAGAACATCGAAAAGCTGACAAAAAGTGCAACGTCTACGGCATTTGCATGATTTTCAGTACAACAAGGGGTTATTTGGGGAATTTCAAGTCTGGTGTTAGTTTTTATGTATAAGGCCAATTAAAGGTAACTACAAAGTTGTATCGTTTTCAAAAAAGGCGAGAAGTTTTCTGGTTAATAAGTCCGATTCAGGGCAGAGTTAGTCATCTCAAAGTCATTACAAAGTCACTAATTAAAAATACGAGATCTGTAAATTAAGTGATGGGACTGATCTTTTTTTTATTGTTTAATTCTAATACAATTACAATTTGATATTTTCATCCTTAAAATAACTTCATTCTGAAGTCACACAGCGAAAGAGACGGTTCTTCCTCTCCTCATAGCAGTGCTAGGACTCCGATACTGGAATAACCTTCAGCTGGTCGGTTACAGCTGTTTGAATGTTTTTGACTGTCCCAGAATGAGTTCCTTTGAGTTGGTTCCACAACTTCGGATGGAGAAAAAAAGTGACAACGACTCAAGTCAGGAGAATGAGGAGGCTGAGGAGCCACAGGAGTGTGTTTAGTGGCCAAAAACTCGTTTATTAACGATGTTGTATGACAAGAAGCATTGTCGTGATCCATCTCCCAGTTGTTCTTGATCTGACGAAGGGTGGTGTAAGTCCAATTTATCTCTTACCCAGGCCAGGTGAAGCTTAGCAACAGCACACCTTTGCTCGAAATTGATGTCACGCATTTTTAGATCTCAATAGGTAAAACTATTTCCCAAAAGGGCGGATCACTTTTTCCCCTGTCTCTCCTCCCAGCGCAGCGCCTCCAGAGTTGTCAGATCGAATGCTACGTTGCCAGTCTCATTGCTTAATTTACAGACCTACTAAGTCTAGCACATAAGTGTTTGCAGTCGTCATGTCATAATCATAGATCAGTTTGCCTTTAGGAAAGCAATGGAAGGGATTTTAAGGCTTCTCAAAATTATGAATCTAAAAAAGTTATCACCACTGTATCTGACCACTTGCAATAATATGGCAGTGTATGAGGTAACATTTCTTAATAGTTTGCAAAACTGACACTAGACTTTATCCGGCACATAATTTATTCCAATTGGGGCAAAAGGCGGAACCTTATTAAAAACCTCTTTGAATAATACTGATATAAAGCAGTGAACCTAAAAATAATCAGTTCAACTCACGGTGTACAGGAAGACAACAACAATGGCCTTCCAATTACATGAAATGAAAATTCGTACTCTATATATTATGATCCATATCTAGATGCTTGAATATTTTCAACACACAACACAATGGATAATACAGCAAGTCTCCTATTTTGCCGTTAAAAAGTGGAGTCAAATGATAGACCAAATAGTTCAAGTCTTTCATGGTGAAGGTAGTTCAAGCAAAATTCCGATTCCATGTTCCGATACTCTGTTTTGTCAGTTTTTGTCAGATTTTCGAATAAATAGACCACTGTGGGATAGGCAACGTTGAGTATATTACTACACTGAATTATACAAGTAATACGAATTTGTTTATGTGTTCGAATGTGTAGGGAGAGCGGTGGCTAAAGGCTATTTTTTTAAATATTTGTATTTGTATATATACAGGATGACTTCGAAGTTGAGTCATTTATTTTAACAGTGAGTAGATCTGATCAAAAGAAATGTTTTTTTCCTTTACCATTTTTCTGGTAAAATTAAAGTGACAAAGTTATAGCCCTTTGGAAGTTTGAGTACCGCCCTGTCTCAATAATAATATCATGTGCTCGTGTTTGGCAACAACGGATATAATCCGCCTTATCGGTTCATCGCATCGGAAACAAAAAAGCGAAAGAATTTGGAACGATGTTTTTACAATTATTTTATTCAGTTCAGTTATACATACAGTCAGTGTCAGTCGGTAAAGCGTGTGAATAGTGTCTGTTGCGTGGCTCAAACGAAATAAAAAATGGCACATGTTTATGCGGATCGGTTTCCCAATCGAGTGCAACCAACCCCTCGTGCCTTTGTTAATGTAGTACAACGGGCTCGTGAATCAGGTGACTTTAGACCTCACAGGGGACCTCACGATCAAATACAGGTCCGCACTGAAATACTTATAAAACAAGGTAACATTTTTTTTTAATTTTTTTTTATTTTTACACACATATTTTGGTTTATCTTCCTTCTACAATCATTATCTGAAAATTAATGACTAAACTTCAAGAACAAGTTTAAATAATTTTTAATCTGTTTTTAACTTGTTCTTGTCATATTTTATATAATTTTGACCATTGTACCATGTATCCAGCTCTCACCATGTTACTGGACGTTTCCCTCATCCTATACGTAAACAACAATTAGCAACATCCTCACATACTACTCTCCTGATGATGATGGCAAAGTCCATTGAAAGCTAGAGAGAATTAAAAAAGTATAAAGAGTCCTCTTTGCTTGAATTTTGTGGAAGTACCCAACAAAAGGCGGAAGCGTTAATTTTCACCTATATATATATATATATATATATATATATATAAATAGCAATAAATGTTGTTTTAGTTTGTTCTTTAGCTGTTTGATGTACAGCACAACCTGTTAAATGTAAAATATTTTGATCTCATTTTACAAACAATAAATTATTACTCTATTAAAACAGTTGTGTCACTTGTAGTGTCGTTATCCCTAATTATTATAACAAGACATGACCAGTGAAAGGCGATCAAAAATAACTGCTGAAATTTCGGCAGCATTGTGTAAAAATAGTAAACGATAATGTGTATTGTCTCCGTATTTTCAAAACAATTGTATTACGATAGACATAGGATGCTCTATTTGCAAGCTCTTCCATGAGTAATACACCGTCCTCACATGGATGGGCCACCCTGTATATATATATATATCGTACACTCATATGAATTACACTTTTTCCAGAATAAATTTAATCCAGCATTTTGGGAAATAGAATGAGTTTTACCGAGCGTCCCTCCACATTCCTTTGCGACACTCACCTGTCATCTGTCGACGCATCACTCTTCCGGTTCGCTCATTTTCTCCACGTGAAACAGATGTAGGAGGTTAGAAGAGACTTTGCCGGTTTTTTCCCCAAAATTGCTTTTCGATTATTTTTAATGTGTTCGGGTGTATTGATATATAGTGTTAACACCTAACGATGGTTTCCGTCATTATCAATAAACCCAATGTGTCCGTCCTTTTGGTTTTATATTTGTAACAAGTGCTCTCATCCATGCTTTCGTTTTGAAACACCATTTGGCTGCAACAGCGACGATTAAGTTGTCTGATAATTTAAACCCTTCATGTATTGGTTGCTAGCTTCATATTTGTGTTTTCAGCTCCTGAAGATTTCTCCGTAGCGACGCCGAAAGCTCGAGATTACCGTTAAAAGAGTAAACTCTTCCACCTGTTCGTAAACGCACTTGCGCAAAAGATATTTATTGTTTACAACTCGGTGATGAACAAAAAGGCACTCATTAAATAGTTTACACCATTATAAAGTTCGACAGCTTCTGAAATGTTTCGAACCCGACCTTGAATTACTATCTAAGTAGGGCAAGAAAACGTAGGAACACAAAATTTCAGATATAATTTTTAATATCAAAATAACTGTTGCGAAATGTTTCGGTACCGATATCCTATGTTTAATTGTTGACAGCACACTCCTTCATAAGCCTACAGATTTTTTGTATAATTCAGTGAGGAAGCTGGAAATCAAGGTGATGAAATTGATGCATGAAATATTTTAACGTAAGAATAGAAGTTTGAAAAGAAATGTGATATCTAATTTTGAAGCCCTTCACCAGAACTGTTGGGATCTCGGGAACGGTATCTAAGAAAATGGCACTTAAATGTTTCGAAATTCCGAGATGGACGACAACGTTTTATTTGAGATACGATTTCAAAATAAAAAGTATATCATCGTTGCCACTTATTGATTTAAAGCTTAAAGTAGACTTTACTAGGTACATCAGATTAGTTTGTACTACTTTCAGAAGAAATTTGACTAAAAGAATTTACTTAATAAGTAATATACAGGGTGTCCGCAAAGTTGGGGTTCTCCTTTACACGACGTGTAGAAACACAAGCATTTTTTCTTAGTACCATATACACCAATGTCTTAAGGGAACCGAGATAAAGGGCTCTGCAACATCAAAAATATCTGAATACCGTCCTGTAGCCGCGACTCGCGACATCCCCGAGTGGTACTGGACACTAGCTCAACCCGACGACAGAACTGGGTCGGGGTCAGTGTGTCAGGTCAGTATGCAACCTTCAACCGACGGTTACGGTCACGCGTATAGAGGTAAACGAACCCGTATAATCGATTGCGTTTCAATCGCGTAGACGAAAATCCCTCAACAAGCACTAGAGACGTGGCTAGAGAAGTGCAAGTATCAAAAACTAAAGTGTGGCAAACGCTGCGTGAAGAGGGACTGTATCCGTTTTACGTCCAACGTGTACAAGCCCTTCAACCTGACGATTTTCCAGCAAGAGTGCGGTTTTGTGAGTGGTTGTTGCATCAACATGACAATAATCCGGACTTCTTGAAGTGCATACTGGTTACAGACGAATCTACGTTCACGCGTAATGGGT